AAGGAGGGCCAGCAGCGCTTTGTGGGCTGGCTCCCACCACCAGCTGCCTCCCCTGCCCTGTAGCTGGCTTAGGGGAGGGATCACTTTGAGGCCTCCTCCTTCCTGCAGCCTTTTTTTGGGGGGGTGCTCCAGAGGGCTGGCCAGGCTCTATAGGCTACCCCCAGCCTTCAGCTCTCCCCGACCCCAGCCTGCAGGTTGTCTCGGGTGGGGGCGAGGCAACATATTCACTTTATGCAAGCTTTTCTGATTGGGACAGGTTGCAAAAAAGGTTTTTTGAGAGAGCTCCTAGAGCACAGGATAATAAGATGCATGAATTAGGTGCTCTAGAATAGATTATGATAATTAAGAAGAATGTTCAGGCACACTCTCCAGATTCAGTACCTAGACTGCTAACTATATCCATACGAACCCAATTTCCACACCGAGGAAGTACTCCCAGGTAGAGGCAAGATCCAACCTGCTCTATGTGCTGATTTAGATTGGGGATAGCTCTCTGGCATCCCAGTCAAAGCAGAGAAACAAGCGACTGAGAAACAAACATCCTCATCACATGGCAGTAACTTCAAACAAGTGCCAATATCGGATTGAAATGAACACACGTGTGCAAACTTGGTTGTATAGTGCACCCCTCACTTATGCTTTAACAAAAGGTAAACTCTAATGTTTAACTTTACCCAAAGTAACTCTATTAAAATGTTAACCCAATAAAAAGGATGCAAATGTAACATGTGAAAGTAAAGTCATTTTCATGAAAGAAACCCAATGAAACCCACCTCTAAACGTCCTGTTAAAAGCAGCCCTTGCATAATTTAAACATCATTTACTAATTTCTGTCCAACATAACACTTAGATCTCACTTATTTATTACAGAAATTGGTCTGATTCTATACTCGGTAACTTTGGCTTTATTCTGGTATAGCTCCCAGGCTCTCATTGGAAAGTTTCCTGATTTACATCAATGTCAGCGGCCTATACTTTTGCAAATTAAGAATTGTTTGAAGTCCTCTGTGCCAGAGCACATTGTTTGATAGCATGGTTTTGCTGACATAGCTATGAAAGTTATCATAATAAAAATATGCACACTGTTGTCCTGTGAAAACACAAAGACAGCTGTCATTAGCAAGGGGTAGGTGGGTAGGGTTGTGTGGGTAGGGTTGTATGAGTGGGTGGGGAGCTATTAAATGAGCAGCAAGAACAATTCAAGATGATAAACATGTACATGCAATCTTTTGATGGCAAGCCCAAGTGATAGAATTTGATAAGAGGGCGCCACACTGGTCACATCACTGAGCAACAGGCAATCAAAGCAACAGATAAACATCTTCATAAAGTGCAACAGACTCAAATGTATGGGACAGAATTGAAGAATCACATCCTGGTTCAGGTTAGGTCATAAAAATTTATGGCCTACTTTAAAAAAAAAAAAAAAACACCTTTCAAACCTAAAAAGGTATTTCCCAATAAACTTGTTTTCAGAAAGAATGTAAGCCACTTAGGACATGTCTTGGTAAGATCCACAGGAAATAAGAATATTTACAATACTGGACTTCTGAAGACAAAAATGTAACCCAGCTCAAGCATGGTATTTAAAATGAAGGTATTTAAAATTTAATCCTTAAACTCAAAGCTGAGTTTAATGTAAATGGCTGCATATCCATTAAGTATTTCTCTCAATCAGAGGATGAGCAGGAGTGAAAGAGTGCTAAGTACTCTGTCTCTCATCTTCTGGACTCCATTGCAAGTGCAGCACGAAACCTTGAGGGAAAGGGCATACATTTTGCTGTGTCTCCTTAACCCCTCTGGAGAGGCCACATCACCAAACTATCAAATGTCATCTGGCACTAGGGATGTAATAGTGTAGTCAATTAACTGATTAACCGATAAACAAAAGCTTATCAGTTAATGCTATAGACTACACGCATTTCGCCCCCTTGCAAGTACATTTTTTAGCAGGTTGGCCAGAAGCCTGGCTCAGCCCTGGCTCGTGCCGAGTCTGGGACCTACCCTCGCTGTGGCTTTGCATTTAAAGTGTATTAGGAACCAGGCAGCTCTGTTCTGACTCATGCCGGGTATGGAAACTCAGACCCACTCCTAGAGGGGCTGCTGCCACCCCGCACTGCTGCCTCTTTATCATAGGCTGTAGCACAGGGCAATAGGCAGTTGGTCTGTGAGGGGAGCTGGTTTTTAAACTGGCTCCCCTTGTGGACCAGCTCCTGCCCGGCACCCCGTGCTGCTGCCTCTGTATCAGAGGTAGCAGTGTAGAGTGGCAGGGGGCTCCCCTGAAGTGAGGCTGGAGTGCATTGGCTGCTGGCCCCACTCCCGGGACTATGGAATAGTCGCCGAACCAATAAGAATTCATGAGGTTACGTGACTATTCAGTTGACTGATATTTAACATCCCTATCTGGCACATCTATTTTTACTAAGGAGTAATCATTTCTAAATGGGAACAAACGAGGGTTCGGCCACAACAAAGGCTTCAAAGAGAAGTTAAAATCCCTGAATTCAAATCCAAACTGTTTGGCAGTGGAGTTAAATAAAATATTACTATTAGCATGTCACTGGCAAAATCCATGTAGTGTATTTATTTGTAAGAAATGTATGGGGCGTTATAACCACAGTGCATTATTGTACAATATATTTTAGCCTTATAACAGTATGTACTCATTTTAATGGGGACATACACATTAAAAGCATTACCAAAAAAGCATCCTCACATTCATATGAGCCACTTTACACAAAGGCCCCATCTACACTACAGCAGAGGGTTATTTAACATGGAGAAATAGCCATCTTGCATGGTTTATTGTCTGTAGTGTAGACGGAACAACTTGGTTACAGATCACATTGGAGAACCATGTTACAAAGTAGCTAATGACTTAGGTCTCAGTTCCTTAATAGCCACCCTGAAGATGCCCCTAACTGGGCTAGACATGGTTGGATTTATAGGGCAGAATAGCTTAAAACATTAATAATTTGGTATTCAAAATTTTAAATATGCTGACCAAGGTTACCATTCTGATCTAAATCTGTTATTTTTATTTTTAAAAATAACATTTTTTTCAGATGAACTATTATAAAAACGAATCACTGTTGATACTTGTAAGTTTCCTCATATAGCCAAGACAATTTTCTGAAAAGTTCATATACATTTATTCAAAATATTTATAACATGAGCCATGGCACAACCTTAACTATGGAGTGTGAATGGCTGTTACTACAGTTAATTATAAACCCTGATTTAGGAAAAACACCAAAGTAAATACACAGAAATAATATCTTGGATTCACAATTAATATCTATTGCAAACAGAGTCCGGAACAGGAGCTTTTACTTTAACTCTCTTTACAACAACCTTCCCAAATCAGTTTTTGTATGTGTTACACTTTCCTTTTACAGTTTAAACCTCAATCCAATCAGCAGTCTCTAGGGATTTTCAAATCACTCAAGATTAAAATCCTCTCTGACTCGACTGCTTGACTAATGCTGTGTGTTTAATAATTCTACGTGTGAGAGATTTTATTTGACAAAACCCTGCTGTGTAGAACCACCCAATTCTATGCAGCTGTACTGGACTATAAAACCCTGCTGCCCTTGTCTCTTTATACATAAGAGACAAGGGAAGAAAACTTTACGGTACATATATTATTATACTGATCCTGAAATAATAAGGATATAAAGTTGAGCTGTTCTCCATTGCAAAAGTCAGTGAAAAAAGATTCCTGCTAAAAAAACATTGGTTCATAGAATCATAGAACCATAGAGCTGGAAGAGACCTCAGAAGGCCATCAAGTCCAGCCCCCTGCTCTAGGCATGACCAATCCCAACTAAATCAACCCGGCCAGGGCTTTGTCAAGCCGAGACTTAAACACCTCTAGGGATGGAGTCTCCACCACCTCCCTAGGGAATCCATCCCAGTGCTTCACCACCCTCCTAGTGAAATAGTTTTTCCTAATATCCAACCTGGACCTCTCCCACCACAACTTGAGACCATTGCTCCTTGTTCTACCATCTGTGTCTACTGAGAACAGCCTCTCTCCATCCTCTTTGGAACCTCCCTTCAGGAAGTTGAAGGCTGCTCTCAAATCCCCCCTCACTCTTTGCTTCTGCAGACTAAACAGACCCAACTCCCTCAGCCTCTCCTCATAAGTCATATGCTCCAGCCCCCTAATCATTTTGGTTGCCCTCCGCTGGACCCTCTCCAATGCAGCCACATCCTTTTTGTAGCGGGGGCCCCAGAACTGAACACAATACTCCAGATGTGGTTAGTTTATCAGGTAGTCGGTATTCACTCACAGACATTGCTACTATATACATGGATAGGTTTCATTCATAGGTAATTTATAACCATGATAGAGATTATTAGTGTAATGATTTTCTAAACTTTATGCTTTCACTAATAAAAGCATTCCAGGTTAGCCCCGACACACCTTCTGTTTCTTTAGATCAGGCACTCTGAAATTCTAACTCTTTAAGTAAACTGAACACATATATTGTATTCAGATTTTATGTGAGTACTTCCACTTCACATTCAAGCGATCAAAGGCAAAATTTGAGGTAGCTTTTAATATGAGTTCATTAAAAATCAGATAGCAGATGCTATAGTAGATCTGAACATTTGGAAAACTCTTTAAATCTATGGCTTTGGTTAGTGACAACATGTTACTAAGCAAATAAATAAAAGTTTGATGAATGCCATTAACGTGAGTCAAAACATGAAACCAACACACGTGCTTTCTACCTGAGGTAGCATCGATCACCGTTGAAACGCCTCTGCGATCAGAAACTGGACGTGATGATCCCGGCATGCTAACAGGTTCAGAGCGAACAGGCTGAATCCTAAAATTTAAAATTACATACATCCTCTGAATCAAAAAGCACTGCTCATTAGGGCTGTTCTTAAATCAAGAAAACTAAACATGTCCAACCAATTGAAGAACTATTTATTCTAAAATCAACCAAGTGTTGAAAGCTTTTATTTTCCCCTGGTGTGTGGATCCAAGCAATGGATGGGATAACATGGAGGGGAAAAAAAATCATGAAAATTAAATGTCTCTGTATATTACTTAGGATTTGAGCTCTTAGAAAACCACGGAGAAAAAAGAAAACCAGACCACAAATTCCACATGTCTGGTACAAATTCTCTGGCTTGGTGTGCAAAGCTGATTTGTGTGAGGAGGGAAAGGTTGTGTTTTTAACTACCTAGTCTTCAGTCATCATAGATGCTTCTTCATTTAACCAAGGATTGTACATACGCTGTCTGGCATCTGGACATCAGCTAGTAGGGATCCAAAGAATCTTAAAAAGCCAGGTATACACCTCAAGAGTCCAATATGGAACACCCTTACATGGGGGCAATGTTGAAGTCTGTGGGACTACTCACTGAAGCAAAGATTATTCACATCAAGTTCATGGCCCAGGAGAGTTTGCATAATTTTCAGAAGGGTTCGACATCTTCCACACCTGAATTAGGCATGTGAACGTCTGTAGGGTGATGCTTACCCGTTATGATAACTGGTGGGGGCTGGAGCTCCTGCCCAATGGGCTAGTAGTGGGTGTGTGTGTGGGGGGGAGGGGGGTGGGGCCAGCGGCCCAGCTGGAGCAACCCCCATCTACAGTGGGCCCAGGAGCAGTTCTCCACCTGTGGGGGAGATGGGTTAGCTGAGGCAACACGCTGAGGCCGGGGGGCGCGTCAGCCCACCTTGCCCCTGTTTAAGCAGATAGCTGGTTAAACTTAATATTTAAATCAGTTAACTGATTCGATGGGATTTTACATCCCTAACCTGAACTGTTTTACATGTGAGAGATGGCAATACAGTCTAAATCCCACAGAGCCAAGACCATAAAACTTTGGGTTCCAGAATCATCTGCTGGCTCTGTAAGATGCAGGCTTGCTAAAGCTTGTCAGCTCTTTCTGGCTATCATATAGGAAGCAGAGATAGATTTATGACAAATATGGCACTTTTAAAAAATCACTGGGTACCAATAAATACTAACTCTCCCACCAGAAAAACACCCCACATTGAAAGAATGAGAACTTTAATAAAACTGAATGACTAACATCTAAAAGTTTTTGGGAAACATATTGGAGTTGAGCTATTTGGTTCTTTTATTACCCTCATTTTCAGGGATGTATTCTTAAAAATAAGAATGGAGGAAAACAAAGCAAAACCGATACAGAGTAAATTGAAAAAAGGCAAGGGTATGAATCACTCTTTAAAAAGAAACAGAAGTCATGAACCAACTTAGGCACCGACTTTTGTTTTGTTGTATTGAGATGTTATTGCTGTTGGCAAAGAGGCAGGGAAAAAATATACTGCCATCACACAATGTCATTTTGCCAACGATTAAAAAAAAGCATACATGAAGGAAAAGGTTATTCAAGGCTTCTCCAGGCTCAAATCTAATTGCCGAATTCTACATGATACACTTAAGGAAAGAAAAGAAGGTGGAAAGGGGGCGGGAGAAAACATTCGGTAGATCACTAACCGTACCTTTTTCTGATAGTTTTTTCGGAAGACACTTTTCTGAAATTTGGCCCATCTACACTGGGCCAAATTTCGGAAAGGCCTCCTCTTCCGGAAGAGCCCTTCTTCCTCGTGGAAGGAGGAAGACAGGGCTTCTGAAAGAGCGCATCCGCTCTTCTGCAAAAAAAAACGCAGAAGAGGAGACACATTCCCTGGACACGGCAGAGTTCTTCCAGTATCCCAGAACCCCCGTTAGTGTAGACATAGCCTTAGTATTCCACAACACTGACCGCCCTCCTCCCCCCATCCGCAGCAGGGTATAACTACACCCTGATGCTCCTACTCATGTTATAGCAAATGAAGTTGCTAAGCAATGCAAAGGCAACGAAGCACTGAACGTTTTAGAGATTAAGTGCAACGGAACAAGATACCTGGACTTTGCACATCAGGCAAGACACGGCAACAGAAGGGAATCTAGGTGACCACTGAAGACATCTGGATAGAAACCTTTATCATCACTTTGTCCTGAGTGGACTTTTATCATTAACAAGGCATATGATCTTCCAAAAGCAACTGATCCAGACTAGCTTGATAGGAACTGCTGTGCCTATACATGGAAGAATTTATTCGAGCACTCGGCTAATCTGCGTGTAAGTAACCAAGAACCCTTTTTGTAAAATTAACTTTATTGTTACCTGAGACTGTTGAGATCAAGGTCGTCTGTATCGAAGTCCAGAAGAGGCTGTGGTGTGTCAGTTGGACCATGTGACTGCAGCACAGATGAACTGGAAGAAATGACTGTGGTTTGACCTGACGGATGAATTGTCTTGAACTGGAACTGGGGGCCCATCCACAGGCGTCTGTGAGGTCCAGTGTGAGTCACTATTTCCACCTAGAAGAATATTGTACACCACACTGAGCAATTCCCTCGAATCCCAAGGCAACCAAACAGGAGAGAAGCATTCTCCTCAGAAAATACTTAAGCAGAGCAAAATATGAAATGGCCTTGCTTATACGCATAAGATCTGATCTCGTAAAACAGGGTGCGGAACCTCAGATCTGGGGGCCGGATGTGGCCCCCAGCTTGTCTGGGTCTAGCCCCCGAGGCCCAGCATTGGGAAGCCCACGCTGGTGCTCCAGCCCCCCAACCACCCACCCGCAGAGCTGGAGCAGACAAAATCTACTAGCCTGGGACCCCTCAGGCTCTGGTGTGCGATGGGAATGATTTTCTCCTTCTTAGTCAGGGGCTTCTCACTTTTCTTCTCACTTGTGTGCAGCCCCCGACTGATTTTTCTTGGGGTCAGCAGCTCCTGACCCCAAAAAGGTTCCCTACCCCGGCATAAAGCTTTGAAAATCCTCAGAGATGGACAAAAAGACACTCTACACCTTGCAGGATTCAACCAATGATCAGGAATTAAATGAGTGCAGAACCTAAACAGGACTCTGGGTCAAGCAATTTTAGAAATTAATAGCATTTTAACCTTTCAAAATAAAATTTTACAGTGAATCCAATTTTCAAATCTGTGCACCTACACTTTACATCCAAAACTTGTATCTAGATGTTTGTATGGGTACATAGGCAATATGAACGCCCGTTTTACTCACCAACGTGCCAATCTGAACACTCATATGCGGGAGTCAGAAATGTTATCAAGGCTTCTGACTTTCCAAATTGAGGCCTATGTGTTGTTCAAGATCAGAAAACAACATCTATGGATAATTTCAATTTCATAATTTCTAGGAGACAAAATCTCGGAGAATCCTCTTACATTGTCTTGGAGCCCAAGATATTCGCCATAACTATTATTTCATATGACTCAGTTTGCACCTTGTTCCCACCACTGCAAAATGAATTCCATGGCTACAAAACTAACAATTTAGAATTTTTGGGTGCAACAACAAAAGAACATGATTTAGTAGGGCAAAGACTGAACTAAGTGAAGCAACTGAAAATTGTCCTCCATACATGGTGGTCGACAGCTTTAAACCTGACCACGTGAAGGAGACCTCTCTTTAAGAGCAAGCTGTTACAATTTTGTTCAAAGTATCATTCTGAAAGTAATCACTAGACAGAACACCTTGTCATCACATGTATGAAGTGTGAATTGTATTTCAAAATGAAGCTGATAATTACTGCTGACATTTCGGAAGCTACTGCTGGCAAAGACCACCTTGCTGAAAAGCAACATCGTTTGTAATAGACCATATAGCTCCCGCCATACATACATCACATATATACAACACACTTACTTTGGCAAGACAGCAAAATGTTTAACATCTATGCATTCAGCTGACAGTCTTACAATTTAAACACAAGCAAAAGGGTTTATTGTCCATGTCCTAGTAGCCATATACATAACCTGAAGACCCGTATTTCCATACATACTTTAGAATGGGGGAAGACAGTATAGAAAGTACATGCAGAATATGCAAGTTTCTGATGACAGCAAATAATTTTAAATGCATTTCTTCCTTTAACTCAAGGGTACTTGCAATTAATGAGAGACTAATCCATGGACAGTCTGAGTCATTAATATTTTATTTTCCTGATCCAGTTCTGATCTTTAAACTTTGGGGAACAGGTATTTTCCAAACCACAGAATCAAATGGAAAATTGTAGGATTTAGTAGGCTATTAAAACAATAAATAACCCCACAAACAAACAGAATACAGTGTACTGAAGACAGCAGTATTTATTTCAGTTGTTTTGTTACATAATAGATGTGCCTTTTTGCGTAGCACCTTACAGGTTGTTTTTTAACTATTATCAAATGTCAGTGCCTTAGGTGATTTCTGATTTTTACACAAGGTAATTTTAAAGGCTTAGAAAAATATTGTTCTAAGGCAATTATTTGCAAGCCTTAGAGGACAAACGCATAGTCTGTGTAGTATTACCTCCATATTTCCATTTATCTTGGGGTAACTCAGATCGGCAGTAGAGGTTTATAATTTGAGTAGCTTTTATACGGCCATGTAAATTAGGCCACAGATAAAGGATTCTGTATATTTTAAGCTTGAAACCATCAGTGTCACAGAGCCGAGAGGTAAACAGATGCCTTTGAAATTTTACCGAGGCTATGGCCAGATGTTCTTATTCACTCTCCTGTTGTGTGCAGGACAAACATATTGTATCTACTTCACACTGACAGCACACATTACCCACTGTTCTAATTGAAAAGTTGAAGTGAAGGGCAGTGTTTTTTCACTGCATGCTGTTACTGTTGATAACAACACTTTAATTTTGAAAAACATACATGCTCTTTGGGCTTAATCTAAAGTGGCTTGCTTAGTAAAAGCTAGGAGCTTCATGTTCACAAGAGATATCATCTCCCTTTTCATTTAGTAAAAACTAAGCTTTCCTAGAGCACTTCCTGGTTCCTCTTTTTATGTACGAAGAGACCTCATTTAGGAAAATGTTCCCATAAAATATACTTGCTGCTCTATCACAGAGTATTTATGACAGCGATAAGCAACCGAAGCTAGTGTGTGGGCAGCATGAGTGGCCCTCCATCACAGCGGGTCGCAAGACGGTCATAACCAGGACTGTCTCCCAGGATACAGTTGTTTTGCTACCTGTGCTTACATACCTAGAATTTGCGGGGTGTGCTGACTGAACTGCAGCAGCGCTTTGATTGGATACAGAATGAACACCCAGCTCTTGCCATCAGCACACACCTCAGTTCATGTGACCTTGATTTAAGGGTGTGTCACTTTAGTAATACCAAAAGGAAAAAAAGCGTTGTGGATGGAAATCAGCGGAATCTGGCCACCCTGCGCGTCGGCAACAGTAAACAGTGTCTTGTGGGCTGGACATAGAACCCAATGGGCTGCATGCGGCCCTTGGGCCACAGGTTGCCCACCACTGATTGATGGCAAGACTTGTGTAGCGCTGGGCTCCTATTACTACTCTGAATCATCTTTGTGTTAGCAACACACAATCCTACAGAACACATGCCCACTTCATTCTTGCTCTGAGAGCCTACTGCTACACTGAAGATTAACGCAACATAAGCACAGTTATAAAGTAACTAAATGACGTCAGAATGCAGTCGTTACAGTATTTGGAAAACTATGAAAGACGTTAGGTGAAATCCTGGTCCCATTAACATGAGCGGCAAGATCCTTTGTCTTTATGCTGTGACGAGTTGGAGACAGCTTCTCCATATCTGACATACCAAAGTGAAACCAAAAAAAATATTTTTATGTTATGGTTTTGTAATTAGATCCCTGCAAATATAATTAGATCCTGGTAGTCATGGATGCTCTATGAGACATACCTGGGTAGACCTACTGCAGGGTTGCAAACTTATTTGAGGAATAAGCTAGATATAATCTAAAAGTCACTGGGTGTAGAAGATCCTCAACATATCCCTGAGGCAATACAATATATCTGACATCTTGCCAAACTAAAATGTGAAAGCTTCAAATAGGCAGTAAAAATATAATATCTACATAGTAATATATCCAAACTGAGACCAGGTCTACATTAGACCTGGAAGATTGGCTTAAGGTATGCATCTCCAGCTACATACTCCACGTAGCTAGAGTCGGCTTAACTTAAGCTGAGCTTGGTGCCATCCGCACTGTGGGAGGCTCCTGTCGACTTTCCTTACTCCTCATGACTGCCAGGAGTACAGATGCCAGCTGGAGCTACCCTCAGCATTCAAATTACAGGTCTATACCAGACCTGCTAAATCAAACATCAGAATGTCAATCTCTGTAGCAGCAAGTGAAGATGTGCCTTGAAGAAAATTCAGGCTCTCCGTCAGGATACATTCCGAAAGTGCTGAATAACTGATTTGGTAATTAAGTTATTTTTCACCATTTTCAGCCCTTACAAAAAGAAATATCAAAAGCTAATCTAAATCCTTACTTAGTTCTTACTAAGGGAAACTGCCCACTTAATGTAATGAGAATATTCCCAGAGTAAAAACTTAAAGGCTTGGCCTAATATGCAAAATAGTTCATTCATATTGAGACCATCATAAAGTACTACAGCGAACTAACCTTCCAGTCCTAAATTAGGACATTCTATAATAACCATTAGACAATGCATTAACAACAGAATTATAAAGATACTGCATCACATTCTTCAATCTTTATTTTACTATATGCTGACTTAAAGATGACCTAGAAAAGTTTTGCAAACAAATTTGCTCTCTATTCTCTTAAATTTGTTTTAAATGTTTATGATCCTAATGGTATAAAAAGTATTCCAAAATTACAAATACATTTATAGTTTACACCAAATTAATTGAAAATTGGGTCTCCCTCCACTTATTAGCCAAATCCTGAGTTTAAAGATCTGATTTTCCTCTTAAACAGCCGAAAACAACAGAAAGATTCACTCCTGCAAGTGTCCTCTACTGTTATTTCTTTAGCAGGTTTATTTTTTAACATAAAGCTGGAATTCACTTCTGCCAGATAGGATGAGTTTCTCTTCAGAACTGGACATAGAACAGAACGGACCGCAAGCCCCCCAAAATCCAAACCCCATACCTGGGAAAGCCATTCTTCATCATCTTGACCACTGTGGTCAGATGCTAAGCTGTCGTACGACTCATGTCGTGTGATAGGTCCAGGACTCCCAGGTGGAACCACTATGCAAAGAAAGAAGATAGAAGAAGTTAGATTTTTCAATCTGATTTTTAAAAAAAAATGTTGTTTCACATATATGTTGGTATGACAACATACACACAGTTCTGGCTGTCTATACTGTGACACAGAGCATGATCAGTCCCAGGGCTGTCCTTACCCATACACAGAGTACGCAGCTGCATACAGCACTCAAGCTGCACAGGGCACCAGAAAATTTGGGGCATGACTGGGTCTTAATGTCCACCCACCCACCTCTTACTATCCCTGTTCTGTGGCTTCACTTCCTCAGGAGGGGATCTAGTTAACTTAAAAGTGAAAAAACCCTTCCTTCCAGACCTATTAGCAGACACTGAACCTGAGAGCCATTCAAGCAGTAACGAAGCCATTTAACAGGCCTTTGCCAACCCCAGGTCTATCCTGACAGTTTCTGAATTTCTTGTGTTAGTCGACAGGACCCTTAGTTTAAAATCTGCTTTAAAAATATTTCATTCGTGTGTTGCTGAAGATTATAAAATCACATCTCTAAAAAAACCATCCCAACACCTTGGCTGCCATTGGACACAGGGGCACCAGTTTAATAGAACTGTGTAGGGCCCCGCAAATGACAACCCTGATCAGTCTGAGTACAGATGGTGTAAATGCTAAAGACTTCCTCTTCTGAAAACTTAGACGCATTCATGTTATTTATTCCTATGCGGACACTAGGACAACCCAACTTGCAGCCTGGAGCTCGACACAAGCATCCAAAATAGCTTTAATGAAGATGACAGCCCTTCCCATGTGTCTGGAGGGAGTCACAATGGGAAATGCCACGGTCAATGATACAAGCCTGCTGCATCGACTTTCCAAATGGTCCACTTAAGAGAAGTTGAAGTATGTTAAGCTCCAGTGACAAAACCTATCCCGAGGACCTGGCATGCCTACCAACCTGGAATACTTAGTTTTCCTCCCTGGCTTCAGGAAGAAATATGATCATCTCATCTTGGCTGTAATGCACTTCGCTTGACGCTGACTTGGCAACAGAATTGGCTTCTTTTTAATCAGGTGGGAGTGGATGATTTACATAGCAGCAGCTGTCTTATAAAATTATTTTATAATGCAATCTATTCATGAAACACGTGACACCTTGGTTATTGCAAACATCTACAGATGACTGACTGATCATAAAAAAGCACAGCACAGACCACGCCCCCTTAAAAGTTTCATTTTTCTTATTCAGCAAAGTCCCTTTTGCTTCTGTGCAAACAGCTAATGCTTTATAAGTCGAACTAGCAGATGTGCCCGGCATTACGCAGGTCTGTAACTGAAGGATTTTTTTTAAAATACATGAAAAATGTACACACTTTATTTCAATGTTTGTATTTTTTCAAAGATGAAGGAAAATGAAGGCTGTCGGGAAAGTTTGGGGGTGAGTGGGGGCAGGGCAGGCCCAGCCAAAGAGTTTGTGGGGCCCAAGGCAGAACGCCCGGCCCCCAGTCAGGGAAGCAAGTGAGCAGCTGGGTGGGCGGGGCCGGGAGCTGGGCAGCATGAGCCCTGAATATGTTTGCCCAAAGGCCACAGGGCAGGCAGGAGGTGAAGGATCCAGGACCGTGGGCTGCAAGGTGAGGAGAGGGCTTATCAGGGAGACCCATCTTGGCGAGGGTGGCGCTGCTCCAGCAGCATCTCCTCCCAGGAGCAGTACTCCTCCCCTGCCAGCGCCCTCTCCAGTTGCCTCCCCGCCCTGCACAGCCTGCAGGTAGTTTCCTAACACATCCAACCAGGGCAGGCAGGAGGTGAAGGATCCAGGACCGTGGGCTGCAAGGTGAGGAGAGGGCTTATCAGGGAGACCCATCTTGGCGAGGGTGGCGCTGCTCCAGCAGCATCTCCTCCCAGGAGCAGTACTCCTCCCCTGCCAGCGCCCTCTCCAGTTGCCTCCCCGCCCTGCACAGCCTGCAGGTAGTTTCCTAACACATCCAACCCTGTAGCATCTAACAACCACATACAAAATTAAGACTTGATCCTGAAAAACACTCGCATACCTGAGTAGCTTCACTCATACCAACAGCTGCTATGCCAATGGGACATTAATCAGTCGTTCTTTGTGTACATGAGTTTCTCCAGGGCTAGGCTCATAAAGATTTCAAAAAGACTTAAAAAGACATGTCTTTGCTTCTTTTGCTCATTTGATGCCACTTCCTTAGATGGGATCTTCCTTGTTGATTCTCTTCCAGGAATACCATTGGCGGATCATTTGGTTATCACTGTTCTGACGGAAGGCTATTGCAAAGAGCAGTTCTGTATAGACATCTACAGCTGGCAAGACTGCACCCACTTCGACTGCATGAATGTAAGGGAGAGCAGAGTTTGCCCCTTAAACTGATAAATTAGCTACATACAGAAACAGCTTCATCTGCCAGTAAAATACAACTTCTGTGACAACTGATTCACAACGTGCAAAGAGACTGTGTAACGTTCTGTAAAGAATGCTGTATAGAGCTGAAACGATAGCAGGAAGCTAGGTAGGCACAGTTCCTCAGCTGGAATTTGGCTCTGTCACTGGAATTAACACTGTATCTCCTCTGAGAAGCGTCATGGGATCTTACATTATCACAGAGTTTTGTCCCTCTGTCATCCCAAAGACTGGAATAAGAGGACAATTTAGCAGTGTGCGCACACACACACACAGGCCACTATAAAAAGAATGTAACTGCTCCATTTCTTCACACTGAGGCCACTTGAGTCTTGCAGAATTAGAGAACTTTTCACACCATTATCGAAGATGATGACCAGAAGCCTGCTTGCGTGTGCTCTCAGTGATGTGGGCCCAATTACCACAGTAGACCCCGAGAGGGCCCCCAAAGACCACAAACCAGATAAGGCTCAAAGGTATCAGGCCAGGTTTATTGTTAAGTGAAGTACAGTCACAATTGTCAG